AAAAAATCGTCAACGTATCTAAAAACCTTCAAGACACCGCCATCGACAAAGTGGTTGGCTAAGTCCCGATCAACGTGCGCCAAAAAAATATTACAAAGCACTGGGGCCACACAGGACTCTATGCAGATGCCCTGGCGTTGAATGTAAGGTCTGTCTTCAAAAGAAATAAAGGTGGAACTGAGGTAAAACTCCAACAAAGACAGGAAGACAGAAAACGATCTGCGTCTCCTTCAAGCGGATAAAGAAGGTGGATTTGTGGCGATGACTGCCGGTACGTTCAGCGAGAAGGCCCGTCTTGCGGTGGAGAAGAACTTTAAAGCTGTCAAACCTAGTGCTTGCCGTGTCAAGTCCAGAGCAGTGGATATGTGCAAGCCCATGTCCAGAGCAGTGGAATGTGTCTTGGTGGATGACTTTACTATCTGTTTTCGTTTTTTTTTCATCTGTGTAGCGTGCTGCGCATGCTCTTTCTGAATGTTCGTGGTCGATTGCGCACGAATAAACTAGTTGAAAGTTTGCGCTTGTCCGTGTCTACTCGCTTGTAATTGTCCCCTGTGTCGCGCAAAAAAAAAAAACCTCTGCACTGCATCATGAACCAACTAGGCCAACAACAAGTTTTAATCAACCCTGGCCCGCTGACGGAAGTTCAGTTGGCAGCGATTCTTGATGGCCAGAGGACGCTAAACAACAGCATATCAGAAATTAAAAGTAAACTTGACGAACACATTAGACAAACAGAATCAAGGCTATCCTCAATAGAAACTAAAGTTGAGTGTCTGTCAAAATTAGAGCCTGACCTTAAGAGATGCGAGAATTATGTCCAGCATTTAGGAAGAAACGTCACTGCAATGGCTGCAAGGGTTGACGCCCTTGAAAACCGGAGCCGGCATAACAACCTCATTATTTACGGTGTGGCGGAAGACTCTACTGAATCACCCGTTTCGTTGAACCAGAAAGTGGTTACCGAAATTTTTGACAAGAAGCTAGGCGTGAAGGTATCAACGATAGAAAAAATACACAGGCTCGGAAGGCATCTGGACAATAAAACACGACCAATATTAATACGCTTTTCTTCTCTAGACGAAAAAGCTGCACTTTTGAAGAACGCGTTTAAATTAAAGGGTACAACGGTGTCTCTGTCGAACGACTACTCAATAGAAGTAAGAGAAAAGCGCCGCCATCTTTGGACATACGCAAAAGCTAGAAGGGAAGAAGGTATCAGCAAAGTAAATCTAACGAACGATAAGCTTGTAATTAATGGGAAAATGTTTACTTGGAACAGTGAAAGAGAGGAGGTTGTACCTGTGCAACGTAACTGACGTCAAACGAATTCAAAGAAAGCGGTGCAAAAGGATATCACTGTGATGGTCGTGAATTGCAGAAGCGTAAAAAATAAAGTAGAAGAATTATCGGGTTTAATCCTATCTGTTCAAGCCGATATCATTCTCGGCACTGAATCATGGCTTGACGACTCTATCTTAGATCATGAAGTATTCCCTAGATGCTTTAACGTCTACAGAAAGGATAGGTCGTTACACGGGGGAGGGGTTTTTCTGTTGGTTAACAATAATTTGCAAAGCCACCAACTCGATCTAGCTGAAAACATAGAATCCGTATGGTGTCGGGTCAGGCTGCCCAATAACCTATGTTTTACCGTAGGAGTTTTCTACAGGCCTCCAAATTCTGATTCTATTTGTATAGACACCCTAAACGAAATAGTTTCTAGTGTTACCAATGAATGTGTGGTACTTGGTGGCGATTTTAATCTGCCAGACTTGACATGGAGCGATGACGGGTGTGCCTGTAAAACAATGACTCGACTTAATATTGATATGAAGTGCATGGTTGATAGTCTAGGTTTTACCCAGCATGTACTTGTACCTACGCGCGGACACAACATACTCGACTTGTTGTTGTGCAATCATCCCGACATTGTTAAACGAATCGATGTCATACCGAGCATAAGCGACCATGACGCTGTAGTCGCGACGCTTCGTTTTCAATCTGCACGTGTAAAGTTGAGTTCAGATCGAAAGGTGTTTTTGTATGAAAAGGGAAATTGTGAAGGCATTAGCTCTGAGCTTTCTAGTGGCTTTCTTTCGTTTGAATGCGTTGCCGAAGAAACAGATGTGCACAACACGTGGTTACTGTTCAGGCAGAGAGTGATAAAGCTAACAGAGAAATACATACCATGTATTGATGCATCCAAATTAAAAAATAGAGCCAAACCATGGATCAACGGAAGTGTTCTACGATTAACAAAAAAACGAAAGCGTGCTTACGCACGGTACAAAAAGAAAAAGTCAGCAGTAAACCATGGGAAACTGAAAGAACTGACGACAAAGTACAAAGTCACCGTGAGGAAAGCAAAAGGCGATTACCTACAGCGGCTCGAAGACGGAATGAAAAATAACAATAAACAGTTCTGGAAGTTTATGAAACGTTGCGGAAATGACCAGATGGGAATACCTGACCTATTAGTAAATAACGAACTAATTACAGATGCCCGTCAAAAAGCTTGCATCTTTAATGAATATTTTCAATCGGTATTTTTGCCTGCGAACAATATAACGCCAGTAACGCTTACAAACAGATACGATGATATGCCTCCAGTTGAGGTTGGTGTCGAGGGAGTCCTAAAGCTACTAAAAAATTTAGACGAAACTAAAGCGATTGGCCCTGATCAAATTTCGCCTAGGGTTCTGAAGCGCTGTGCTCACGCCATTGCCCCATATCTTTTTATAATCTTCAGCCAGTCTTTGCTTGAGGGGCCATTACCGAATGATTGGAAAGTAGCTCATGTAATACCAATACACAAGAAGGGACCCAAAAAAGATGTTACAAATTACAGGCCGATTTCTTTAACATCAATTTGTTGCAAACTACTTGAGCACATTTTGTACAGCCAGATAATGCAACATCTTAGTTACCATAATTATTTCATAGATTCACAACATGGATTTAGGAGAGGTTATTCTTGTGTCACGCAACTAACCGAGCTCTATCATGATCTTGTCATGTCCGTAGATAAGGGTGAACAGACTGATTGTGTTTTTCTTGATTATAGGAAAGCGTTTGACACAGTGTCGCACTCGTTCTTACTTCACAAATTGAATTGTTTGAGCATAGATATTACCACACTAAAATGGATTCAGTCATACCTGAGTTCGCGTCAGCAATGTGTAATTTTAAACGGCGAGGCGTCTCATTTTGTTGAAGTTACGTCTGGTGTACCACAGGGGTCGGTTCTGGGGCCATTGTTATTCTTAATATTTATCAATGATATTCATGTCAATGTAACTTCCCAGCTGAGATTATTTGCTGATGATTGCGCTGTGTATACGCGTATAAAGAACGGGGAGGGTTCCGGACAACTGCAGGCTGACCTAGATCGAATAGAACAATGGTGCGGTGAATAGGGGATGCAACTTAACGTAAAGAAATGTGTTCATGTTAGCTTCACACGTAAAAAAAATAAATTTGACACACAGTATTATTTAAGCAATGAGCTAGTAACGAATGAGAATAAAGTAAAATACCTCGGAGTCATTTTGTCATCCGACTGCACGTGGGATTCGCAAATTGATGATGTCATTATGAGGGCGGGTCGCGCACTGGGCTTTGTCCAAAGAAACCTAAAAAACGCTACACAAAAAATAAAAGAACTAGCATATCTTGCCTATGTAAGGCCACTTCTAGATTACGCATGCACTGTGTGGGACCCTTCCAAAAAAAATCGCATTGATGGCTTGGAAAAAATACAAAATCGTGCCGCACGCTTCGTCCTGGGCCAGTACGACCGTTTTTCTAGTGTAACTAACATGAAACAATCACTAGGATGGGCGTCATTGGATCTTCGGCGAAAAAATTTACGGTTGAAATTTTTATACAACATTTACCATGAAGCTACTGGTATTAATAGCTCATCATACCTCTTAAAACCAAATTATTTTTCCAAACGTAATGATCATGTGCACAAGATACGCGAATACTGTACTAGGACGGAGCTCTGCAAAAATTCGTTTTTTGTGAGGACGGTCAAGGACTGGAACGCTTTACAGGAATGTATAGTTTGTGCTGCAAATGTTGATATGTTCTTTTCGTTATTATTCGTCCCCTGCAATAATGCCTTCTAGGCGCTGCAGGAGTTCCCTGAATAAAGAATAAATAAAGAATATACACGGTATGAAACCTATTAATTCCCAACTACAACTTCAAAAGATTATCCAACGTTCAAATAAAAAATTTTCATGACATCTCACCACCGAAATCGCAACCAAGAGCGCGTCTATCGTTTGAACCAATCGCCAGACGAGGAGCCCGTTGTCGTCACGCTTCGACGGCGCACTTTAGTTCACCTTTCTGCCGCCGCCTCGGTGGGGTCTCAGGCATCGTTCCCGGCGCCATTATTACCGCGCCTGTTTGTTCGATTGGTGCGGCACCCACACTTCTGTTCGGGCTAGAACTTGGTCAACAGTATCTGAGACGTGCCTGCCATCCATTTCAATCGTCGAATAAAACTTCGAAACTGCCTTCATGGTCCCTTTAAAACCACTTTCTGCGATAGTCTATTTATGGTCATAACCTATATTATATGTAGTCCCTAAGCATCCTAAAAAAAAAACAACATTACATTCATGTGTGACCGATGTTTCTATTACAATCGGTAACAAAGATCGATTGCCTCGGAATACTCTCGTTGAGACTTGAAGGCGCCGCCGCTAGAGGAAGGACAGGGTTCTGCCCTTCCTCAAGCCTCGTCCAACGGCGACCTCTGGTGTCTCGATCTTTGATACCAATTTTAGTAAAAATATCGGCCTAGCATGATTTAATGTTTTTTTTTATTTTTTAAGATTCTTAAAGCCCGTAGATTAAATTATGAGCATAAACAGCCTATCGCAGTAAGTGGCTTAGTGCCCCTCCTCTTTTGTTTTTAATGTTGTCTGCCAGAGAACTACTTTGCCTAGAAAGAAGAGGGGGGAGTTCTGAAAGGGGACGCTCACCTTATTTTTGACGCCGCATCGAAGACCTTGTATTGCTGAAGTTTTATACAATGATTGATGCAGAGTGTTGTCCTCGAGGCAGCAGGTTAACTCGCAATCGTACACTGGATAGAAGCGGTGCGTCCCAGTGTCCTCTTGTCGCTTGATATACAGAAGGAAACACGCGAGAAGTCACATTACACGGCTCGCTTTAATGTAGTGAGAACAGAACACGTGAAGAGGGCCTTTAAATGCTATGAAAATATTTCCACAAGCTTGATCAGTCTTCCAGAACCCACAAACTTCTCTTTTTTTTTTTTCTTCAAAATTTAGCGGAGAAATTGAATTGGTTTATTTGTCACAGGACGTCTACCTCTTTCTCCGCATTTAGCCAGGAAACCGGATTGGTGTTTAGGTCATGTGACGTTGATTCCCACGCCAAATTTGGCGAGGAAATGTGATTAATTTATTGGTCTATCGCGTGACATCAGGTCACGTGACGTGAATTTCTAAACTGAGCGGGAAACCTTGATTGGTGTAGAGGACACGTGATGTCAAGTCCCGACGTCAATGTCCCCGATAAATTTAGCGGAAAATCTGCACCGTGTAACGTTCTCAGCGTGTCGATCGTTCGTGACAATTTTCTCGTAGAAAGCGACCCATAAAACGAATTCTTTATTAAAAAGAGGCCGCGAAATCTAAATACTTGAATCCAACATCGGAAGTGACTTAGACAAAGTAGATCGAGTGCGCTGAGAGTGTATGAAAGGCATCACGTTAGACAGAATACAGATTAAAAAAAAAAAAAAAAAAAATCCGATCAGTGTTTAATATGAAATTCGTGGATTGATTGATTGATTAATTAATTTAAACATATCTGAAGCACTGTTGCTGTTCTCAGCATCAGTCTGACGTAATCAACAGCCAGTTGCAAGGCCGTTGAGAGAGCGAAGTCTGATTCACACGTTTGCGGTTGAATGTGATTGAGTGCGCTCTGCCAATACCATCTACACTTGCGGGCACTCGTGTGATTGCTCCAAGTAGCTCCGAACTTCTGTGGTTTCGGTTTCAGCTTCAGTTTCTGGCGTAAAAGGGGCGCATTTGCTACTGTTCATCTTTTCGCATGAGAAACCCTGTTGAGGGTGCTGAACCGCGATTGCCGAGCATGCAGAAATGACCGCCGTCTTTCCCTACGTCCTTTTTTCAAATTCAAGTCGACGCTTCGACTGGAGCAATCGGACCGACTTATACCCTCGCTACACGGGCATCCTTAATTGCAGTTAGGCTAAGCCCCAGTTCGCCCACAATGCCTGCGGACAACATTTTGTGGCTATGCAGCCAAAGCTATGGGGCATTGTGCACTTGAGCATCTTGAGCACAGATCAAAGCAGTGCACGCGCGCTTTTCACTTGTTCCGAAATGTCTGTTCGGGAGTATAGTCCGGTAACTGTGTTGCAGCGTAACGGCGGTTAAAGATGAGTTAACTGTTGTTAAGTGTGCCAGTGGAACGAAGGTTTTGCGAGGTAAATGAAGCCGTGGTCAATTACGTAAAATTCTATTCGTCTTGGGATTGACGCAGATACGCTGGGTCGATTTAAGAAGTGCCGTGAATTTTATCAGCGCTTCAGTTTGAATGTCATTAACACGTAAATTCGTCTGGTGCTAAAAAGTCATAGTAGCAGTCACACGCGACGGCACGAGGTCAAATTACATTTGGATGGGGTTCCGGTGGGGGTGGGGGGTTGGTGGCGCACCGCAGCTCAAAGCACACGTATTGCGAAAGTTTGCGCCCGCTGCAGAATTCATCGACCCTAGGCTAAATCCGCACCCCTGCTCGCGTACGACGGTATGCTCGCTAACCCTTCGGTATACGGGAACAATGGAGAGTCCCGGTTCCCAATGCCTCACTTGTGCGTGCACACGTTGCACACCGTGTGTTTCGTTCATTTTGGCAAAGGTTGGTTGCCGAATTTCGCCAAAATCCTACGGAGGGCGAGCAAAATTGTGCGAGCTCACGGAAGGGACGTTACACCACACGTCAGAAGGACGCCACGTTTGTTTTGCACACTGGAGAACCTGCGGCGAACTTAGACTAAGAAAACCCCAAAGAAGGTAAAAACAAAATAAAATGTTACGATTTCGAAGTTTCGCATATAGCGCCGACCAATCATAAGAACATTCTAAAATGCAAGTTTAAAATAAAATGTTTATCAAGCTTACTCATGGCGTCATCGGTACTGGATCCCCAACCAACCCACTCGGAAACCGGAAAACACGCCGGAGCTCGAAATTAGTCGCTGCAAACCGGCGTCTAATGCGAGTCGAGTCGAGGCGAGTCGATTTGAGTTGAGTTGAGTCAAGTCGAGTTGAGTCGAGTCGAGTCAAGGCGCGTTGAGGCGAGTCGAGGTGAGTCGAGGCGATTCGAGTCGAATGAGTCGAGTTGAGCAAGTCGAGGCAAGTCGAGTCGAATGAGCCGAGTCGAGGAAAGTCCAGTCGAGTCGAGTTGAGTCGAATCCAGTGAGTCGAGTGGAGGCAAGTCGAGGTGAGTCGACTCCAGTTTGAGACGAGTCGAGTCGAGGCGCGGCGCGGCGAGGACAGGCGAGTCGAGTAGAGGCGAGTCTAGGCGAGTCGACCCGAGTTGAGTCGAGTCGAGGCGCGGCGCGGCGAGGACAGGCGAGTCGAGTAGAGGCGAGTCTAGGCGAGTCGACCCGAGTTGAGTCGAGTCGAGGCGCGGCGCGGCGAGGACAGGCGAGTCGAGTAGAGGCGAGTCTAGGCGAGTCGACCCGAGTTGAGTCGAGTCGAGGCGCGGCGCGGCGAGGACAGGCGAGTCGAGTAGAGGCGAGTCTAGGCGAGTCGACCCGAGTTGAGTCGAGTCGAGGCGCGGCGCGGCGAGGACAGGCGAGTCGAGTAGAGGCGAGTCTAGGCGAGTCGACCCGAGTTGAGTCGAGTCGAGGCGCGGCGCGGCGAGGACAGGCGAGTCGAGTAGAGGCGAGTCTAGGCGAGTCGACCCGAGTTGAGTCGAGTCGAGGCGCGGCGCGGCGAGGACAGGCGAGTCGAGTAGAGGCGAGTCTAGGCGAGTCGACCCGAGTTGAGTCGAGTCGAGGCGAAGCGATAGAGTCGAGTCGCGACTCGACTAATGTGACGTCAAGGTGCAAGAACTCGACGCCTCCTTTTGGAGTCGCTCAGTGGGAGACGCTGCAAGACGCGCTGCCAGCGATGCGAAAGCAAGCTACTCGGCGATGCGTGGATCCACAAGTGATGACGACTGGCGGGCCTTGTCTTCTAAGTGGTATTCATTGTGTGCCCGCTTTTACGCGCAACTATGACCAGAGAAAGAGCTGAAAGGGGCTTGAAAATTAATTTTGGACAGAGATAAATTATTTCACATATAGACTACTAATCGCGCTTCCTTTAGCGGGCCAAATGAAAGGGGGTAGGAAGTCAAAAACCTAGATTTCGGTACGAAAATTAAAAAAAATGTAGCGGACTATTTCGTATGTCTTTTGTTTCGAAAGCTTGCCGCCTTATTACTCGGATACATCCGCGGTACCCAAAGCACGTCATCTTATACACCAGCTACACACACCGGGCACGAGCACTGCGCTCGTCAACAATCAACCCGTCTATGAATTTCTGGATTCACGTTCGTGGCCAATGAGTGCCCTGACAGAACTTATCATCACTTGAGGATAAGTTCCGTACTTTTTAAACACATGGCGTGTTTAAAAAGTACGGTGGAAGCTTGGAGCCAACGCCTCCGGTGCCCAAGCACGTCACGACCGCGCGATTTCTCATTTCGCTTTTGAGTTGAAGTGGAAAGCTAAAGAGGAATTAGTTGAAAAATGATCTCATGGCCCCTTTAAAGCCCCCTAATCAAATTCGCGCTTCGGAAACGCAACAACGAGCTTAAAAAGAAATGGCACCTTGTTGTCATCTAGGTAGAACTGGAATGCTTTCAATCTGCTGTATGTTAATCATCATTGTTTCACCGTGTGCTTTAAACAGTTTTGACACCAATATACGAGACCATTGCTCAAAGAGAGTTCGTAGATTTCTTCTTGTAATTTCTGCAAAACCTTCAGTATGGCTTATGGTGCGAGATATTAACACCACACGCGTCGCAGTTGGCAGATAGAGTCAACTCTTCGCCTTAGTGGCAAGCGGCGCCACCAGAAGACTCTTCAATATGCGGCTAACCTCGCAGACCCGGTTTTCCATGCTTTTCTATGTGAATGAAACATGCTTGTTTTTAAAGTGTTTTTTGGGGTGCGCAACACCTTGTAGAACTTAGCACTTGAGCTACCCCTATTGGTTAGACACTTTTTAGTATTGACGCTTTAGTTCGTGCCCCAGTGGCGGCAATAACAGTTTTATAATGGAATTGGAGTCGGATAGATCTCTGGTGCGGAGTTGAAGTCTTGCCTTTGAAAGGGCTAGTCAGTGACTTCAGACGCCCCCCCCCCCCCCCCCCCCCCCCCGAAAAAAGACGCACGCCCGCAAGAGACACTTTTTCTTTTCTCTCTAAGTTTCATTTATTTTATTTTGTTTATTTGACCCACGGGCGGCTTTACTTAAGAAAAGGGGGGCAAGATTGAACTATAAACGATACAATAAAAATGAAGGCTAAATTACTCTTCTAACAATACGAACATGATAGTAAATGGTGTAAAGAGTGGCAGTGAGTGCCGCAACTGCACGGTGGAGGCGCTGTCGTCGGCTGAGGCTACTCGACTTTATCTGGTCGAACGTGTCGCAGCGTTCGTTCTGCCGTGTGTCCTTACCTATTTATGTTACAGCGGCAGTTGTTAGGGCCCGCCCCCAAGTAAACGAAGTTACCCCGCGAAATTTGGCGGGAAAATAATGTCATGTGACCTGGCGTGTTCCTGTCTAAACGCATTACGCTTAGGCATTCAAGTTATTCGCTAGAGGAAAAAACAATTACGTCACGTAACCTATGCACCAAGTCAGTTTACCCACTAAATTTGGCGTGAAAACACATCCTACGACCTTGTTGCCGCTCTCTAAACGCATCTCGTCGTTTGATCGTCACGCAATTTTATATCGTACACTGCGGTCTGGTCATAGGCAGATCGATGCGTCCCAGCGCCACCCCCTGGATGGCGCCAGTGAGTGAACGCAGTCTTTCGAAGCGGTTTGAAGCGAGCAAACACTCGATGACATTCGTACCCAAATGTCTGAACCATGCCCCTGATGGCAGTCATATATGGAACTAAAAGTGGACAGCAAAAGTAAGGCAGACTTACGAAACAGTGTTCAATCTCATTTTCGAAGAAATATATTGATCTACAGAGTTCCGACAAATCGACGACGTCGCCAGGCAAGCTCGTGACTTGGGGAACCTCCTGTCCTCTTGGTCGAAAGCACTCTTGGGGCACGCGGCTTTGAAACAAAGAAAAAAATGAGTGTCAACATAAACGTAAATTCCTGCACACTGAAGCTGACTTGGTAGAAGTGCAATGCCTACTTTTTTTTAAAGCGTTAGGATTAACGCCGGAATTTAGAGAAAACCCGACCCCACTGGGTTTTGAAGAAAACCCGGCGGTGTCTTTCGTTTGTCAGTTGTCGCGTGCGACGCTCCCATTGGTCCGAAGCGTGATTTAAGCAGGTGTCAACCTCTATCTTTCTCCCCTGCGCTGACAAACTGACAGACACCGCCGGGTTTTTGTCAAAAGGAGCCCTTTTATTTTAGGGGCGAAGCTCCTTAGGGTCTAGCCTTGTCCGTCCGGCGTCCGTGTTCACACCGATTGCCATCCCATCTGTCATCTTAAAAAAAAAAAATAATAAAAATGTTTTCGCAGTCGACAGGATTCAAACCTGTGCGGGGAGACCCCAATGGATTTTTAGTCCGTCGCCTTAACCACTCGGCCATGACTGCGGGACGAGTAGGGGGCTATGAGATGTTGTAGTAACTCAAAAGCTGGGGATGTCACGGATGAAACGAGCAATAAAAAATCAGCACGATCAACACTACCTATGAAGAAAATCAGTGTGATCAGCACCACCAGAGCTACGCCCCAATCAACATAATTTTTGGCAAAGTCACGCGCAGAGCTGGCATGGAGCCAGGGAGGAGGAGGCGCCGCGCAACACCTGCTAGATAACAGCCGTAGCGCTGAATGAGATGGCTTAATCAGAGGAGGCCAACACTGGACACACAGTGGAAAGGAGTGCTGAGTCAGCGCTCGGCTTCGAGTCAAGGTTGAGCCGAACGTTGACGCAATCGTTGCGTTCAATCTGTGCCCAACGTTGGCCATCTCTGGTAACGGCCTCTCATTCAGCACTATGGTTTTGGTGCAAAGGAGGTGTTGCGCCCCCACGCGGTGAAATGCGGGCGTGCTGAGTTGCCGCTCTGCTGTCGCCGGTTGTTCTTCGCTCTGAGTTTCCGTGGTAGCGCTACATGGGCTGTGATGTGTGTGTAGTTAAAACGATGGATGCTGTTTATTCCACGAGTGGAATGGATCTGGGTCTCTTACGAGTGATATGGATGCCCGTATCCAAGGGCGTCGACGTAATTTGAAATGCAGAGTTCAAAAAAGGGGGGCGAAAAAAATTACAGGAAGATCCATCGGAGGATTCATGGGGAATCCGTTAGCGTAACCCTTGGGAAACGCCACAACCGTCCCCCTTTGGGAGACGCTAACACTGTCCCCATAACGAGGCCACAAAGAGGCAGCAAAAAGTAGAGGAAGCAAACGAGAAATCCCCCTCCCAAAAAAGTGAAGGGGTTACGGTAAGCATTTCCCAAACAGGGACGTGTGTGGCGTTTCCCAGTTTCATGATAACGGATTCCCGAAGAATCCACTAATGGATCTTCCTGTCATTTCTCTCTCTGTCTCTCGAGAATCTGTTAACGGCCAACGACCAGACTCGAGATTCTTTAAAGCAGAAGATCCTCCTCACCCTCGGGGAGGAGGAAACAGGCAACGGTGGACAGGGAGAAGGGGGAAAGGGGGAAGCGGGAGAAAAGTGGAAAGCGCGAACTGGCCGTCGGTCTTTAACCAAAAACGATCGAGGAGTATCTACACTGAAAGAACCGCATGTTCAGTTCAAGAATTTTTCCTTTAATGGTTGTATTTTGAATTGAGCCAGAATTCAGATAACTCGAATAAAGTAAGCCCACTTTCTGAGGTAGAGTTTGAGAGGATGGGTAGCGGATCCTTCGTTTGCCAACGCAGTTTATCAGACTGCATTCATTCGCAATCGAATTCGTATCCTTGTTGGCAGTTCCCTTGCGCTGATGATTATATGTGTGCAATAAGAAAATCAAACATTTGGTTTGTAGAAACACGATGGAAAATTCTCTCGGCTCAGGTTAGCATTTACAAAATGTGCCCGCTTCTCTTATCACGAATCTTAACGGCTTAGGGTGAGCGGTCCCTTGAAGTTAGTATCCAGTTTAAATGTCAGCAAGAACAATAAATACAACGCTCCTGTTAAGAATTAAAGAAGTGCGTGGGCCGCGTCACCGACGCTTCATGCTACCGCAGTTGCTCGGAAGTTAGCCCCCGAGCTGGAAGGGGTGATCCAGCAACTATTGCACTTTCACTAACTACCGCTTGGAAGAGTGGTGAACAACATGGTAACCGGACAAAAACTCACGGGACAAAAGCTTACCGGACTGAAGCTCACCGGACAAAAGTTCACTGAACAAAAGCTCACCCGTTATTTCACATACCCGGACAAAAGCTCACCTCCTTTTTTTTTTTTTCTACCCGGGCAAAACACGGGTTAGGGTAAAGTGAGGACGCGATGGACATTGCACCATTTTTAGGAGAACTGGCATTCCATCCCATGCAAAGGTGTCGACAGATAAGCCAAAACAGGCAGAGAAGCAACGATTTAGGACCACAATTTAGTTCACTAAAGCTGAGTGGAGCTGATAAGATCAAGTTTGCCTGACTCAAGGTATGCCGGAGCACCCTTGTGCCGCGCCCAAGAAACTTCGTGAACCGAAATTTTTGAACCCGAAGAGTGAGCGAAGAAGCGAAGTCACCCTTCGGTGACCTCGCTTTTTTATCGTGCTTATGTCACGCTAAGCGCGCACATGAAGGATAGGCATTATGTTTCTTCATTACTAATGCATGGGTTTTCTGGGGTTCAGGGTAATACTTGAAGTGGACGATGAAGAGAATTAAATTCTTTCCGTCATTGTGCGTCGTAAATATATTTGAAATCAAGGATTATCTCAGGGTGAGGGGGAAGGGAAACTGAAGCAAAACTGTAATAGAAAAACTATTGAGTTGCGAATTTTTTTTAATATTTTGAAGGAACGGGAGTGTTGGCCTTTTGAAAAGAATGCGAGAGCGATGAGATTTTGGATAGGCTGGCGTTCCTTCCACCACAGCTTCTGCCCGGAGAACTAACATGACATCAGGGCAAAGTCTACCGGTGACATCGGAGACCTGCTGGACTACTTTGACTGCACGCATGTCAACGGCCCGTTCCGTTGTGCTTCTGCTCGTACTGCGACGGCACCCAGAACGAATTCTTCCCTTTGCCTGACTGTGAGCCGACGACGACCGGAGTTTCCCCCGGAACGGTGGGATATGTACGACGCCACTCTTTGAGATAAAGACCGGACGGACAACACCCATAAAGGATGGAATACCAGGTTCCAGAAGCTTGTCGGTCATGCCCATCCATGCGTCTGGAGGCTGATTGAATGCCAGCAGTAAAATCAGGCGCTCGTTGCCACGGCATTGAAACAGGCCCGGAAAGGTGAGCCCCCAGTGAATCGGGTGCGAAAAACCGCTCTGCGGCTGCACAATCGTCTGAAAAAATAATTGCAAGGGGTTCCAGGCACACCGAGATCTACCAAGACTGCTGGAGCTAGTGGAGGACTGCATTCGCTTCTAACCAATCGATAAATAAACTTTTGCAAGGGGTTCCAGGCACACCGAGATCTACCAAGACTGCTGGAGCTAGTGGAGGACTGCATTCGCTTCTAACCAATCGATAAATAAACTTGTTTCTACTCTTATCAACAAACCATGCACCTGTCAGATTTAATATGTCGTTGCATTTTAATGTCGTACACATGCACCTAAGTTGCCCGCACTCGTGTTAAGAGCAACATGAAATTTTCTCCTCGTAAACTTTCGTTAGGGTCTGTAAAAAGATGGGTGAGCTTTTGTTCGGTGAGTTTCTGTCCGGTGAGCTTTTGTCCGGGATTCGCACAACATACGGCCCGCCACTCTTCTCCAAAACACTGTTTGTTGCTGTTTGTGGGCAGGTCGATGGGAATAATCATTTAATGTAAAAATTTAGTACGGGATTAAATATTACTTTTGACACGTGAATGTAAAGTTTATCAGATCAATCACTCTCTCATAAACTGGGTACTCACCGCAGTGCTCCCCCTACTTACAATAAAAATCACTTCGTTACAAAAACGTAGCATTAATAATTAGCAAAAATATTTTTATAACTTCTTTTTTTATAATTTTAGATTATCGTAATATAGAGCAGCTGTATTTAGTTTGCTGGTCAATTAATGCCAGTAGCAAAATGCTGGAAATGATCGGAAACGTCTGTATGAAAACGAAACCACTTTATTTGGTAAATTGGTCTCAGGAACTTAAAAAAAATGAGAAAAAAAAACGAAACAAAATGTGCCCATACATCATCGATTCTTCTGATTTACTGCAGTCGTATGGCAAATCTTGTAGTTCGTTGTATTCTTGAATTGTGCTCTTTTTCACTCCTGTGTTTCGCAGAACTTTTCGTGAGGTGCCTTCGCAGTATATTTTTCAACGGATGTAACATATATATCTTATACACTACAGAATTGGACATATCATTGGGGAGGGATTTTGTTTTATTTATATGATCATAATTTTTTATATCGAAGAACAAACTGTACACTTTGATTAACTTGGGCACTATCCGTCCTGGCAATACACCAAACAGTTCATTCGAGTAAGGAACAAGCAGTTTACACGTCATCTTGACCTTTTGGCACAAGAATAGCGGTATATGATAGAATAGAGTATTAGCATCACAAATTGTTACAAGCGTAACGTTTCGGTATTATGACCACATTTGTATATTAAATACACGGGCTTCTATGGGAGCGCTGTCATAACCCTCTAAAAGATGGCGCAAGCATACGATGGCAACCATTTGTGGGGATAAGCCCAGACCATATTCACCCCCTGAATGTTTTCCTCCGGTGACACTCTTTGTTCATAATGCACGTAAATAAACTGCTCAATCTTTGTTTATGCGCGCGTTGTTATTTGTTTGTCGTTGCAGCTGCGATCACTGGATTCTGCTTTGCAAACGGACCGACCGTAATGAATTGTTTCAGCTGTTGGGGGGAAGAAACGGGGCTCGCAAAGCTCGAGGACGTCGCACAGCTTAGAGTTTTCCATTGCGTCGTCTGCTTTCGTAGACTGCGAGTCCGCTAGAGGCGCCACTGTAACGTTCGCCGCCGCTCCCATAGGTTTTCGGAGGACTTTTCAGTATTGGCGAAGCTCAGTGATGTGATTGCTGCGCCAATTGCGCCGAACTGCGCCAAGGGGCTAACCCTGCTACACCCTGCTACATTTTACCAAGATGTGGGTAACCTGCGCCGAGCCTGCGCCAAAAAAAAAACCAATTTCGGTCGCCTTTCAAAATTGAAACTAAACTGAGTACCGTAATTGAGCATGCTTGTGTTATGTGCCGCAAGTGGCCGCCCGACACAACGTACCCTGCATCAATTGTCCATCCGGTCTTGCATGGTTTTCCCGCCGTGCGAGACCGTTACCGCTTTGTGTAACGAACAAGAGTCGTTACGCAAAGCGCTCCAAGAACTTTCTGATCTTAGCTCGCAATGTCTTGCATCAATGCGCTCAGTTTTTTCTTCTTTTTTTTTTATGTGTGTTTAGCTTGTACCTTGTCTGCCGTCCTGGTAAGCACGCGCCGCTGCACTGTTTTTTGTCGTATGGTCGGCAGTTAAATTTTGCATACAATGTTGGGAATCAGTTAGTGACGGAGCGGAGTGGCATGGTTTCGGTTTCGATCGAACGGCCGTTGTCTCCGCTCGCGGGACGAAGTACGCGCAACTGCAAGCCTGCCGAAGTTGCCCCCATGTGCATGTGAACATGATTGCGCGACAGAGGCACCAGCCGGGACGCTTGCTTACTTTTGACGAAAATCTGGCACATAGTAAACCAGTAAAACTGTGGCCAGCGGTTTTTCGGAATTGCTCGGCAAGGCCTACAGCACATTACACTTTTGGGAT